TTGACTGACTGATTCATTTGATCTGAGTGATTTGACTAATTCATTTTATCTGAGTGATTTGACTAATTCATTTGATCTGAGTGATTTGACTAATTCATTTGATCTGAGTGATTTGACTGATTCATTTGATCTGAGTGATTTGACTAATTCATTTGACCTGAGTGATTTGACTAATTCATTTGACCTGAGTGATTTGACTAATTCATTTGATCGGAATGATTTGACTAATTCATTTGATCTGAGTGATTTGACTAATTCATTTGATCGGAATGATTTGACTAATTCATTTGATCTGAGTGATTTGACTGATTCATTTGATCTGAGTGATTTGACTAATTCATTTTATCTGAGTGATTTGACTGATTCATTTGATCTGAGTGATTTGACTAATTCATTTGATCTGAGTGATTTGACTGATTCATTTGATCTGAGTGATTTGACTAACATTTGACCTGAGTGTTAAACTTTCGTATACGATCTTTTTCTTGTATAATGTCCATCCATTATAATTAGGGGTTTCCACAAGTTGCTCGGCAACTTTTTGGCAACTTTTCATTTGAGTCAAATTCATGAAAAGTTGCTCGAAGTTACAAAAGTTGCCGTTTAAAACAAAAGTCATTCATAAAATGAAAAGTTGCCAAAAAGTTGCCGAGCAACTTGTGGAAACCCCTAATTATAATATCCATTATAATATCCATTCCAGTATATTATTTTAAAACTACAGAATCCTTAAGGACAGCAGTAAGGTATGATTACTGATGATGTTTTTATCCTGTCTAAGTATTGTTTTCGTAATAATAATTAATAATAAATAATAATATGCATTGATTGTAAGCGGTAGAAAAAACTAATTGTGAAGCATACCTGGACCGTCCAAGCTACCAAAATTGACAACCAGTTTTATATTTGAAGAACGTATTTCAATTAGAGTAAAATCTCGATGGTTTGGTGGGCCTCTGGCATAAAACAGAACGGCATTTTCTTGCGATGTCTTGATACGGAATGAGTATGTCTCTTCTGCCGGTGCTTTGCTTGTAAAACGATGCTTCACTTTGTAAGTACCATCTAAGGTCAGTTCCAAGGCAGCTTAATAAAATAGTAAAAACTGTTTGAAACTAAATGGTCTCTGCCAGTGTGGGTTAGTACCAAGTGATAGAAATGCAACCACCTGAAAAGGCGTCCCTATATCAATCCGACATTTTCTTGTTTAAAACTAAATCTACTTTATTTTGCTCTATCGGTTTTAAACTGTTGTCCCAGGAAGTCAAGTAAGGGTCATCCTTTGTTCCAGTGTCACTACTGGAGGAAACATAAATTAAACTAACACTATTTACAGTGGGTGGCTGTATCCGGTTGAAGCTGTTTTCACTGGACTTCCAGTAAGGGTCGAGTCATAATATATTGTTTGCATCCAGGTTTAACTTTGAAAATTCCAATAATAATCACTAAGGGACCGGTCATAAAGTATTTACTAGGGGGTGTGGAGGATTTTCCTGGGGGTACGAAAACCCCCCAGAACCTCTGAGGGGGGTACGAAAAAAACAACAGAACCTCTAGGGGGGTACCAAAATCTTAGTACTATAGGTACGGAAAAATTACACTTTATAAATATTGTTGAATATTGAATGTATTTGTGCCCAGATTTAAGTTTGGAAAGAATTGTTTTACTATAATTGTTATTGAATCAACACAAAGTATATATGTTTCAGTCTCAGTCTGACTCAATGTCTGATGATAAGTAGGATTCAGTATCCGTGGACCTTCTTGAGTACAAATCTGATACATCTGAATTGTCAATGACAATGCTAGCAAGCTCACACCATTAGAACCTGTTAATGATTGAAAGAGGGGGGGGGTATGAAAATTTTCACTTACATTGAAGGGGGTTACGAAAATTTTTCCATAGGTTTTTGGGAGGGTATGAAAATATGTACTTGAAATTTCATT